AAATATTCTGCCTTTTCAATATTTCCTAGGATATTTCATTTTTCTGGGAGAGGGCTGGGTGATAAATTCTTACAGCACTAAATCAGATATTCCACTATTGAACTTGTAGTAATTGTGACCTAACATAACAATTCTTAGATGAGAAGCAAAAGGTCTTCAAAGGAAAATCAGAAAGTCCAGTTGCCTCCTGAAAAAAAGTATCTTTGGGACATTCATACAGTAAGTTAAGATTTGAATGTAATTATTTACATTATATTGTCATTTCTTTTTTACATTGGCATATTACCTATTGGATTATATTTATGAGAAAAAATGAAAAAGTATACCCAACTTTGTTATTGTTGGGTCAAGCATCCAGATAAAATGCAATGCATCAGTCACTGCATATTTTTGTTCCTGTATACAGTTGCTAATTGTCCCATACTTAGATTTTGGCACTCTCATGACAATTGTTAAGTGAAATGATTGCTGTGCAAATATGTAACTGAAAGAGAGGCTGTGAAGATTGATGATTGCTATCATCACATCCTTATACAGTGTCCTGTATCTGACTCATTCCTTCCCCATTTTTGTTCCTTTTCAGGATGGAGACATTTGCATAAATAAGGTATTTCTGAGCTATTTTTCTTAGCAGCACCAAGCATCTCTAAAAAGTACTAATCACAAGTTAACAAATTCACCTGCAGCCTTAATTAGTTGATATGAACCCTCCCTGAACTGCCTGAAACTGACCAGACCATAATCAGTTTCACACTTAAGCTTTTATAGTTGTAAATGTGCACACTGGTGGGAAATTATTTAAAGATTTTATTTATTTAATCAATTTATAAAACTGTTGACTCAACACAATTCAGACTGGTCTACATCAAATTTCATAAACTACATAATAGAAAAGCATATATATATAATAAACAAATGAGCATGAAAACATGAAGACATGAAATACTGGGGGGAAACATCTTTTGATATTTTAAGCAGTCCAACTCTTTGGCTCCCTTGCTATTTCTTGTTCTGCTGTTTCTGCTGTACATAGCTTTTTAAAATGGTTTTAATGGTTTGTTACTTTTCAGATTCATGTCTGCATCCTTTATAATCTGCTTTGCATTTATTTTGCCCAAGTACATGTTTCTTTTTATAGTCTCATGAGTAAGTAGTACTTCTCTTTTCTGAAGAAACTTTCCCTTCCTCTTACATCTTCTATGACTCAGTTTCTTATTTATATTATTTTTCTGCTTGGGTGAGTTCATACCAATCCTGAGTTGCAATAGGCCAGTGATGGCTAATCTTTTTGTTGTTGTGTGGTGAAGGCACATGCGTCCGTGTGCGACAGCCTGCCCGTGCACCCACACGCATAATGCAGCACCCACACGCATAATGCAGCGTGTGCGCAACACCACCCCAGGCCCCCGTGCATGAATGCGTGACACCCGCCCCTCACTCCCATTTTGGGCCTAGTAGGCCTCCTTGCAGCCTCCCGGGGACCAAAAATGGGCCACAGTGGGAGAGGGACGCACCCCCATGCTCCACCCCTGCGCATGGGTCACCCACTCACATGCACGCATGCATGTATCCTGCCTCCCACATGTGAAAATCAGCTGGCTAGTGGGAGGCATGCATGCACGCATCGAGGAGCAGAGCTGGGGCAACAGCTCGTGCCCACAGAGAGGGCTCTGCATACCACCCGTGGCAAGCATGCTATAAGTGCACCATCACGGCAATAGACATTCCAGATAAGCTTTGATTGTTTTCTTAAATAGCTTCAAGAGAGTCTAGAATTCTAAAATTGACTCTCTTAGAAAATATGCATGAATGTATGTATGTATGTACATATCCATGTGTGCCCACATACTCCATATTTCCTATCAGA